ATGGTTCTAGATGGGACTCAGGATTTCACCTAAGGTCCTATACCCTGCAAAGGCTCCGCAGGAGGCCTATTTCACTGGGTAAGTTCTAGTACCCCTTTTAGGTATTTCAATCAGTTATAGGCTGAAGACGGGCTTACAAGCTTTCTATAATCATGTTTCCCGACATTCCGTTCTATCCAAATCAAGTTTCCATTTTACAATAGTAGGCAAGGGAAACCAATATATATAAGACAGTCCAGCATCTTAGTGTTATTTCCTCTTTTCCAACTTTCCCTTGATCCCTGCATCACAGAGCCCTGTTGTTTCAAGGTTGAGCATGCCTCACTATTTACCTCTGTCCCATTTAACCCATGCAAACCTGTCTCCGTGTTCCCCTATCTACCTTGTTCTTCCACTCCTTCCCCCTTCTTGTGTACTGCCTTCCCCAACATCAAACTATGATGTGTCTGCCCCTACCCTGTGCTCTACCAACAGCTGCCATATCTTGAGTGCTTCTTGTGCTAGGTACTACGCTGCTGGAGACTGGTACAGCCACCTAGTTCTCACCCCAGCCCTGTAATGTAATCATCCTTTTTCTGATGTTATGTATGAGTAAACTGAAGTTTTGGAGATTAGGTCATTTACCCTGAGTCACATAAGTGGTAAGTGGTGGCAGGATTCAAATCCAGACCATGTTTTTAAGCCACTAGAAAAATCTGTTTCCCTGAAATACCCTAACCAACAGAAGCAGCCAGTGCTGGTGGATAGAGGCCAACTCCTTAGGCAGGCTGTGAGCACCTTCCTAACCTTATCCCTTCCTGATGCCTAGAATACCTTCCTGGAATGCCATTCACCAAGGTTTTCCCAGTCTTCACATCACCTCCATGTAGCCTGTCTTGACCACACCAGCCCACAGGACTCAGTCCCTCTGCACACATTGCACTGTTCACATGCTCTCTTGGGAGGTATCCTTGGTTTTGTTTTTTTGTTGTTGCTATATCCGAGTCCACTTTATAGGTCTGGAAATGCAGAGTCAGCCCTTGGGCCACAGCTGAGACCCTGTAGATGTCCTCTGTGCAGTTGTAAAATGCTACCATGTGCTGACTTGCACTGCGTTTAGTGGGCTCTCAAACTTACACCACAGTTGAGAATCAGGACTCCCTCTCCCTTTTAATTTGTTTTGTTTCTTTTCAAAGTAATCTAATATAAAAAGTCAAATTGTGTCTCAGGGCTTTTAATGGGCGAGGGTGGGGTGGAGGAGGGACAGCCCCAGGCCTGTCCCTTCTATCCATAAATCCCTCTGCAGTGACAGCTACTTTCAGCTCCCTTAGTTATCTCTCCTATCTTTGGATTTCAAAACAGTAATACTAACCTGATGGCACAGTGCTTAAGTCACTGACTGCTAATCAAAAGGTTGTGATTCAAACCTCCTGGCTGCTTCATGGGAGAAAGATACAGCAGTCTGCTTCCACAAAGATTTACAGCCTTGGAAACCCTGTGGGGTGGTTCTACTCTGTCATGTAGGGTTGCTTCGACTCAGAATCCACTTGACCACATAGGAGTTGGTAACCTACTACCACTGCTACTAGCATGTAGTACTTCTGTAATGCCTACTGTGGGTCAAGAGCTGTTCTAAATGCTGTACAGCTATTGTTTGGTTGCTGTTAGGTGCCATCGAGTAGATCCTGATTCATAGCCACTCATGTAACAGAGTAGAACTGACCCCTACTGTTTTCTAGGTGGTATTCTTTGGAGTCCTGGTGTGACGATGTAGGTCAAGCACTGGAACTGCAAGGTCAGTGGTTTAAGTTCATCAGCCACTCCTTGGTACCCTATGCAGGGTCGCTATGAGTCGGAACCGACTCGACAGCACTTAACAACAACAACAACAACAACAACAACATTCTTTACAGGAGCAGATTGTCAGTTCTTTCTCCTTCGGTGCTACTTGTTGTTAGATGCCACTGAACCGATTCTGACTCATACAGTACTGCCCAGTCCTTTGCCACCCTCACTCACAGTTGTTATGTTTGAGCCCACTGTTGCTGCCACTGTGTCAATCATGTCGTTAGGAGTCATCTTCTTCTTTGCTGACGCTCCACTTTATCAAGCATGATATCTTTCTCTAGGGATTGAGTCCTCCTGAGAGCTTGTCTAATGAATGAGAGATTAGATCTTATCATTTCCCCTTCTAATCCAGCTTCTTGGATTTGCTCAATGTACAGGTTCTAGGTGGTATTCTTTGGAGTCCTGGTGTGATGTAGGTTAAGCACTGGAACTGCATTTGTTTTGATTTTTTTCAAAGTATGATGAAAGGCACAAACCTTTCCTTATTTTCAACCATTCAGTATCGCCTTGTCCTGTTCCAATGACTGCCTCTTGGTCTATGTACAGGCTCCTCATGAGCACAATTAAGTATTCTGGAATACCCATTCTTTCTAGTGTTGTCCAAAGTTTGTCATGATCCACACAGTTGAATGCCTTTGCATAGTCAATAAAGCATAACTAAACATCTTTCTGGTATTCTCTGCTTTTCTCCAAGAGCCATCTGACGACAGCAGTGATATCCCTTGTTCTACGTCCTCTTCTAAATCTGGCTTGAATTTCTGGCAGCTCCCTGTTAATGTACTGCTGCAACCATTGTTGAATTATCTTCAGCAACACTTTTCTTGCATGACATTAATGATATTGTTAGAAGATTTCTGCATTCTGTTTGGTCATCTTTCTTTGGAATGGGCCCAGATATATTTATCTTCCAATCACCTGGCCAGGTAGCTGTCTTCCAAATTTCTTGGCATAGATGAGTCAGCGCCTCCAGAACTGTATCACTTTGTTGGAACATTTCAATTTGTATTCATCAATTCCTGGATCCTTTTTTCTCCAGTGCTGCTTGGACTTCTTCCTTCAGTACCATTAGTTCTTGATCATATGCTACCTCTTGAAATGGTTCAGTGTTGATTGTTTATTTTTGGTAAAGTAATTCTGTGTATATGCCTTCCTTCTTCTTTTGATGCTTCCTGGATTGTTCAGTATTTTGCCCAGAGAATCTTTCAATAGTGCAAGTCAAGGCCTGAATTTTTTCTTCATTTCTTTCTGCTTGAGAAATGCTAAGTGTGTTCTTCCCTTTTGGTTTTCTAACTTCAAGTCTTTGCTCATTTCATTATAATACTTGACTGTGTCTTCTCTAGCTGCCCTTTGACATTTTCTGTTCAGCTCTTTCACTTCATTTCTTATATTCCCTTCAGCATTTCAATGCTGGAAAGCAAGTTTCAGAGTCTTTTCAAACATCCACTTTGGTCTTTTCTTTCTTTCCTGTCTTCTTAATGACCTTTTGCTTCATGGATGATATTTTATCTTCATGGATGATATTCTAGATGTCATCCCATAACTCTTCTGGTTTTTGGTCATTGGTGTCTAATGTATCAAATCTGTTCTTGAGATGGTCTCTAAATTCAAGCCTGATCTATTCAAGGTCATATTTTGGCTCTTGTGGACTTGTTTTAATTTCCTTCAGCTTCAGCCTGAAGTTACCCCCGGCGTTGTTTTGGCTGATGATTTTGAGTTTCATCATCTTTTCCCACAGATGTAGTCAGTTTGATTATTGTTTATTCCATCTCTTTAGGTCCATGTATATATTGCTTTTAATGTTGATAAAAGGTATTTGCAGTGAATAAGTTGTTGGTCTTGAAGAATGCTATTATGCAGTCTCTAGCGTCAGCATTGCTTCTGTCACCAAGGTCATATTTTCTAATTACTAATCTTCTCTTTTTTTTCCACCCAACTTTTGCATTCCAATTGCCAGTTATAAATGCATGTTGACTGTATGTTTGATCAATTTCAGACTGAAGAAATTAGAGAATATTTCAGTTTTATCATCACTAGCTTTAGTGGTCAGGAGAAAGATGAGGCTTTCTGCTGCTGCAAAGATTTACTGCTTTGGAAACCCTATACAGGGTCACTATGATTTGGAACTGCCTCCATAGCACTTAACAACAGTAGCTTTAGTGGTTGGTGTGTAATTTGCATAATAGTATTATTAACTGGTCTTCCTTGTATGTTTATGGATATCATCCTTTCACAAATCACATTGTACTTCACGATAAATTTTGAAATGCTCTTTTTGACAATGAATGTGATACCATTCCTCTTCAATTTGTTGTTCCCAACACATTAAACTATATGGTTGTTTGATTCTAAATACCAGTCCATTTTGACTCACTAATGCCTAGGATATCAATCTTTATGTACTGCACTTCATTTTTGACGACTTGACGTTTTCCTAGATTCATACCTTATGATTATTAATGGATATTTGCAGATGTTTCTTAGTTTGAGTTTGCCCCATCAGTAAATGAAGATCCAGAAAACTTTGCTCTGTTCACATCATTAATGTCACGTCTATTTTGAGGAGGCAGGTCATCCCCATTCATATTTTGAGTGCCTTCTAACCTGAGGGGCTCATCTTCATGTACTATATCTGACAAGGTTTTGCAGCTGTTCATAAGGTTTTCAGTGGCTAACCATTCAGAAGGGGTCTGCCTCCTCTCCTCCTCCCTACTTTGTCTTAGTCTGGAGGCTCTGCTGAAACTTGCCCACCATGGATGACCCTGCTGGTATTGAAAATACCAGTGATATAACTTCAAGCATCACAGCAACACACAAGCTACCACAGTATGACAAACGAAGACAGATGAGTGGTGGTGCAGAGCTGTTGGGTGAGGGTTCAAATGGCCAAACTTTTAGTTAACAGTCATGTGCTTACCCATTGTAGCATCAGGGTTCTGTGTACATTATATAACATTATATACCTTTTAATTCTCTAGATGTGTGTTTGATGTCACTTAAATATTTATTGTGTCACAGGGCTAGCCCATATTACTTATATGAATTCACAGAAAACTTAATGTAGGAGGGACGGGTAGAGCGTTATTGAAGAATGGCGATTGGAAGGGTTTGTGGTAAGGAGAGGGAGGGCTATAGACTGAGGCAGAAGGGTTCCAACTGGATCTTCTCCCCTACAGCCCAGTGTTTCCCGGGCTCTTTGAATTCTGCTCCCGTTACACAGGCGCATCTCTGCAAGGAGCGACCCAGCTGAATAACAAGGTGAACATAACCCTGAGTCTTCTTTCCCCTTTCCCCTGGATCTCTGGACTCAGGACTCCTAGCTTTATCGTGGGCTGAGGAGGGCTGTGAGTTTGGTATTTGCCTTTCAGATCTGTGATATTGCCATTAACTGGGCTGGTGGTCTGCACCATGCCAAGAAGTTTGAGGTGAGTGAGGATGTGACCGGGGAGACAATGGCCACTTTAGGGTAGGTGGTCAGGATGTCAGAAGGGGTAAGCTGGATAGAAGAATTGTTCCTCTCTTTATAAGACCACTGTCTTGCCATAGGCTTCGGGTTTCTGCTATGTCAATGACATTGTAATCGGGATCCTGGAACTGCTCAAGTAAGTAACCTGGGAGGAGGTGCTGGGGCTTATGAAACTCCTGACTACACAGTTCCTCAGACCTGGCTCTGACCTCCACCCTTACTAGCTTCACCTAAGTTCTTGATGCACTCCTCAGCTGTCTCTTCCTCTGCTCTGCCTCAGATCCCCAGCCACCTACTCACATTTCAGCCTTCTCTGCACAGCCCTCTCCTGGCCCTGCCTCTTGCCTCCAGGCTGAGCCTCAGGGTTCTCCTAAGGAGCTGGTGGGATTAAGTTTCAGGTGACTTGAGTAGAAGCCGACTCTTCATAATTCCAGAGCCCATGTTTGAAAGGAGTGTGCTACGTGGTGTTCCTTCCCAGGGTTTACCTCTGCCTCAGACTCAGTTTCGCCCTTATCCCAGGTACCACCCTCGGGTGCTCTACATCGATATTGACATCCACCATGGTGACGGGGTTCAGGAAGCCTTCTACCTCACTGACCGGGTCATGACAGTGTCCTTCCACAAATATGGAAATTATTTCTTCCCTGGTACAGGTATAGAAATAGGGGTTACTCTCCCCTTCATAACCTTCAGCTTTTTAACCGTGACTGTCTCTCAGTCTTCAGGTCTCAGATGTCACCTCCTCAGTTAAAGTTATCACTTCCTTCCCCATTGCTCTGTCAAATTACCGTTTGTTCCTCTGACAGCACTAACTGCTGTTTGTATTTATTGTGTTGGCGTTTTGTTTACCATCTCCCTCCTCATTATCTCACTTCCCAAGAATATAAGCTTGCTGGGATTTCATTCGTTCTGTTGACCAGTGCCATAGTTGTTGTGAAGTGCCATCGAGCCAGTTTCAACTCATAGCAACCCTGTATAGGGTTTCCAAAGAGTGGGTTTGAACCACCAACCTTGTGGTTAACATTATAGTGCTTAACCTACAGCACCACACCAGGACTTCAGTGCCATAGTGGTGTTGGTGTTGGTTATGTGCCGTGGACTTGGTTCCGCCTCATAGCAACCCTGCATAGGGTTTCCGAGGCTGTAAATCTTTATGGGGACAGAAAGCCTCATCTTTCTCCCACGGAACCACTGGTAGTTTCAAACTGCTGACCTTGAGATTAACAGGCCGACTTGTAACCACTACGCTACCAGAGCCTCTTCCAGTGCCATAGTAGGTCCTCCAAAAAACAAAGTTGAAATGAATGTAAGCTGTACGAGACTTGCTCTAGGGAGTCTGCAAATATGTTGATGTGAGAAACCCTCAGGGTGTGGGTTGGAGTTGTTGAAGCACCTGAGTTATGGGTGCTCCCTGTGACTCTCAGCTCTTCTTCCACCCATGGCCCCATAGGTGATATGTATGAAGTTGGGGCTGAAAGTGGCCGCTACTACTGCCTCAATGTGCCCCTGAGGGATGGCATCGATGACCAGAGTAAGTGCTGTAGACTTTTCCCTACTCACTGCTCCTCCTTTCCCTGAATTAACTTCTGCAACTGTTGGGCCAAGTGTCTTTAAGGATGAATGGCCTTACAAGGGATCATTAGACCCTGGAAAATGGATGCAATGTATTGCATGTATGTGCACTTTTCTGGGTTAAGGCTCACTAGCTTTAATCAGTCGATCAAAAGGATTTGGACCCCCACCACAAGTTCACAACCAATAGTTGGGTTCTTTGGGTTGTCCTTTCCTTAGCTACATGCTCTCTCAACCCCCTTTTCCTCTTGTTCCCTGTCTCCCCATCCCCTTGGGGTGCCAGGTACCCATCTTTGGCCCTCTCCCAGGTTACAAGCATCTTTTCCAGCCAGTTATCAACCAAGTGGTGGACTTCTACCAACCCACGTGTATTGTGCTTCAGGTAATATTGTCATTCCCCCTTGGGAGACCTCTGCCTGGGCTTGCAGGGAGAGAATGGGAAGAGCTACATCTCTGGATCTGTGCGGAAGGGACGTGAAGGACGTCTGTGGCGCTCTGAACAATTACCTCACTGCGGCTGTGTATGATTTTGCTTTTTGCAGTGTGGAGCTGACTCTCTGGGCTGTGATCGATTGGGCTGCTTCAACCTTAGCATTCGAGGACATGGGTGAGACTCACCCTTCTTTCATTTCTTCAGGTTTTCAGTGACTTGGGACCCCAATACATGGAGTGGTAGGAGTTGGGGAATTGGCCTCAACACTTGTTGGGAATCCAAAATGACTGCAAATTGTTCTTGATCCAGAAATATCACCTTGAACAGGGCTCCCCTGATCAAGCTGATCATTCACAATAGGATTTAGTGTAGGGAATAAACAAAATAAGTAAGCAAACAGAATAACTTGATTGTTATCCTATGAAGAAAAAAACAAATACATATATATGTATAGAAAAGTAAGACTCAGGATAACAGTGGGCACCTCCTTAAGATCGCCTGACTGAAAGTTTCCTCAGGAGGTGAAATTTGAGCTAAGGCCTGGTGGTAAAAAGGAGCAAGCCCGAAGGGGAGCAGAGGGAAGTCTGTCGCAGGCAGGGAAGATCTGGTGTAGTGGAGGAGAGGAAGTGAAACCAGTGAGGCAGGAATCGGCAAGCTGGAGGTGGCTTGAGGGAAGATCCTAGGAGCCAGCAGTGGTGAAGTTGTGGGGGGCCTATAGGCCCTGGTAAGGAGTTTGAATCATACTCCAAATATGATGGCAAACCACTGGTGGATTTTAAGCTGGCAAATGACATGTTCCAAATTGTGTTTGGAAGTGACTGCTCTGATTGCTGAATGGAGAAAGGCTTGGTGGGGAGAGGCTCAGGAGTGGAAGTGGGAAGACTAGTTAGAAACTATTGGTGTTGTCAGGTGGGATGCCACAAAGGGTGTTGAGCAGGACAGAAGTGTACTTACTTTAAACTTTTAATTGAGATATGAGAGAGCTTAAAAAAAAATTCATGGAAAAGTGCAATTAAAAGATAATCGAATTTTTCCATGATCTTCTTTTTTGAAGCACCCCCTCACCCTTTACAACACATATGCAATGAAGTACAGAAATTTTCAGGGTATAATTCATAGACTTCCACCACCCAGACTGGCATACAGAACATTTCTCACTTATCAGAAGGTTCCCCTGTGTTCCCTTCCAGGTAACACATAGGGGTGTATACTTAAACTTTTGATAACTTCCTCCACCCATTTCTCTGGTTCCTTTTAACAGGGAATGCGTTGAATATGTCAAGAGCTTCAATATCCCTCTACTGGTGCTAGGTGGTGGCGGCTATACTGTCCGAAATGTTGCACGTTGCTGGTGAGCACCCTTGCTGAGTTATTCTGCCTTCTCATTTTATGTGAGCAAGGGGCTCTCTCAGAACTGGCCTGTCAGACCCTTCAGCCTACCTGCTCAGCTTTTCCTCTTCCTCCTTGTCTCTCTTCCCCCATCCCTCCCCTCAATTGCTTTCAGGACTTATGAGACGTCGCTGCTGGTAGAAGAAGCCATTAGCGAGGAACTTCCCTATAGTGGTAAGAATCATCCCAGGATACCCCCACAACAGTAAGCCCATTTCCACAAGATCCCAGAATGGCCTTGTTTGAGGGCAAGTGTGAAATGTAACCTTCTCAGAGTTCTTCACACTAAACCTCTGGGCCCAGAGCAGGGGAATAATGGGGGTCTGAAGGAAAAGAAAGAAAGAGACAGGGGAATTCTCGGGCCCTGCGTGGACCGTTTTCCTCTTATTCTGTGCCAGTTCTAGGAAAAAGTGCACATGAAAAGTCCACACAGAAAAACCCCGACTACAATAAATGCACACAGGGTCAATTGCTAGCCCTAGCCCTATTCCTAATTAGTTACATGGATTTTTCCTGTGTGGGCTTTTCCACGTGTTTTTTTTTTTGTTGTTGTTACCTTCTGAGCCATACTGTTTCTTCCTAACCTCCCCACCCCAAGAATACTTCGAGTACTTTGCCCCGGACTTCACGCTCCATCCCGATGTCAGCACCCGCATTGAGAATCAGAACTCACGCCAGGTCAGTAACTCAGAGAAGCTGCACACAGAGTTTGGGTGTTGGGGAGCCCAGGAGAGGTTCAGGCTGTGGAAGTAGCAGAAAGCAGACAAAAGATGGAAATTGTAAATCACCACTATCACTGTTACCTGCTAGGTGGCAGCCAAGATGAAAGTAGCGGCAATCAGTGTTGTCAACTAGGGAACCTGAACTAGAGATAACCACTGGGATTAAAACCAGGAGAAGAGTAGGGATAGATGTTTGGACATGTGGATGCTCTAGGAATCACTGGGAGCTGCTCACACTCTTATTTCTCATCACAACCAGTATCTGGACCAGATCCGCCAGACAATCTTTGAGAACCTGAAGATGCTGAACCACGCACCTAGTGTCCAGATTCATGATGTGCCCTCTGACCTCCTGGCCTATGACAGAACAGATGAGGCTGATGCAGAGGAGAGGGGTCCTGAGGAGAACTACAGCAGGTCTGGGGGCAAGACCTGAGAGCAGAGAGTCCCAACAGGCTCTTGGGGGAGGGTTTAGAGGGAAACAGTAAATCTGCTTAGTGTAGTTATTTCTGGCTCTTCGCCATTAGTATGCCTACTCCTGGGTCTGTTATAACTCCTCCATTTGTTTTTCTTTCCCCTGTTTTGATTATTACAAAAGTCCTCGTGTGGTACTGTAAGATAAGCAGTGGACCACAGGGTGGCGGTTCAAACTCACCAGCCGCTCCTCGGAAACCCTATATAGGGTCACTATGAGTCTCGGAACCAACTCAATGGCACTTAACAACAACAATAAAAACATTGTATATTTATTTGTAGAAATTTCACACAGCACCAAAATATGTTAAGTTTGCTTTCACACAATTACAAGCTCATTCCACAAAAATAACCACTGTTAATAATGTGATTTGTATTTTTTTAGACAGGCCTTGTTATATGGGGTACAAGTATACTATTCTTACTGTACATATAAATGCATATATACGTTCAGTTTCAGTTTGTTGCTTTTGCATTTATGTATTTGTTTTAAATACAAGTAAAATACATGTTGCTCTTCAAGTTAAGGTTGGCTTTTTTCTTTTTTTTTAAACAATGTATCTTTCCATGTCAATATAGATAGAAGCAGATCTGTATCATTATTGTGTCAGCTGTGTAATATTCTGTTGTGTGGACATAGTATAATCAAAACAGTTACCTTTGATGGACATTTTGATTATTTTCCATTTTTTTTTCACTAATGTAAAGAATGTGGCAATGAATCCCCTCATATAGACATCTTTGCATGCTTGTTTGAGTATTTCACTGGGTTAGATTCCTAGAATTGTTGCTACTGGTCAAAGTCTGTGCTTCCTAAAATTTTGTAATTTTTTTTCTAAATTACCTTCCAAAGTCTGTAGCATTTTACTCATTCCTTCCAGCTCACTGCCCACATTCTGCTCTCTAAGGTCCTGGACTGCTCCCTCTTAAACTTCTTCAGGTCCTGTTTTTTTGTTGCTTTTTTTTTTTTTTTTTTTTTAAATCTTCGTAATGATCCTGCCTGACATTTCATCAGTTTCCTCCTGTTACTCTTTTATGTTACTCACTGTATTTCATTTTATTTATAGCATTTTGCACCATCTGAAGTGATGATAAGACTTATTTTCTTCGTGAGTTATTGACACTCTCGTTGATTAAATATACTGTTTGAGGGTAGACAGAAACCCTGCCTGGCTTGTTTTCTGCTATATTGCTCAGACCTACAACAGTGACTGGGGCAAAGTAGCCCCTCACTAAGTGTGCATTAAGTACATGGCTGGCTGGCTGGGTAGCAGTCGGAGGAAAGGATGGTTTCCTGTCAGGGGCCAGGTACTGAGTGGTGGCTCCAGAGAGTATTTCTGTGGGAGCAGACTGGAACTTGGAGAGTGGGGTTCTAACCTTTCTCCCTTTGCTTTGCAGGCCAGAGGCACCCAATGAATTCTATGATGGAGACCATGACAATGATAAGGAAAGTGACGTGGAAATTTAATAGTAGCTGGGGATGCTCTATCCCAGTGGAGTCCTTTTCACCTCTTGGTTGGGCAGAGGGAAAAGGTGTGACTTTGCATTCCTGGACTGGTCACCCCAGGGCCTGTGATCAACCCTGGGAAAGGGTGTAGAGTCCATCTGTGGTTCTGCAACCAACTATCCTCTTTCCTCCCTGTCCCCAGACCTGACAATGGTACCTGTTTGGGAGGGGAAGGAGGTAAAATCAGCTGCCCTGGGTCATATTGGATAGTGGGCCCTAGAGGCCAGTCTGAAGCCCTCGGGCCCCCTTATTCCCTCCTGGCTTCACTCCAACCGGAAACATTCAGGACTGAATCGGGTGCAGGACTAAGGCTGCCTCTGACCTTCTCCTCTCTTGGGCTCTCCTGCTGCAGGCCTTGCTCCCAAGGCAGGTGAAGAGAGAGCCTTTTAGAGGACTTGGCTCCCTAGTACCAGAGGGGAGTCGGGGGAGGATATGGAAATGTCATATTCTAACTTTTTGGCTTTATGTCCATTTTACCACTGTTTTTATCCAATAAATCAAGTTGGTATTTTTTGTACCTTTTGCTTTTCTGAGAATACTCTGTAATTTTTGCTAGCTGTCCATGCTTGAAATGAGGGAGAAATGAGGGTGATAATGCTGTTGTTAGGTGCCTTTAAGTCAGTGCCTACTCATAGCAACCCTGTGCACAACAGAATCAAACACTGCTCATTCCTGCACCATGCTCATAATTGTTGTTATGCTTGAACCCCATTGCTGCTGCCACTGTGCCATCCATCGCATTGGGGGGCTTCCTCTTTTTCACTGACCTTCCACTTTACCAAGCATGATGTCCTTCTCCAGGGACTGGTTCTTCTCGATAATATGTCCAAAGTATTAGAGACATCCTGGATTCTAAGGAACATTCTGACGGTACGTCTTCCAGCACAGATAACGTTTGTTCTGGAAGTCCATGGTACTTTTAATATTCTTCTCAAACACCACAATTCAAATGCATCGACTTTTCTACAGTCTTCCTTATTCATTATCCAAAGTCCACATGCATATGAGACTATTAAAAATACCATGAATTGGGTCAGGCACACCTCAGTCCTTTTGCCTGATGCATTTTGGAATTTGATTTTCTTGACTGCTCCTTCCATGAGTGTTGATAGTGGATTAAAAAAAAATGAAGTCTTTGACAACTTCAAACTTTTCTTCATTTTTTATGATGTTATTTATTGGCCCAGTTGTGAGGATTTTTGTTTTGTTTACATTGAGGTGTAGTCCATACTGAAGGCTTGTGGTCTTTGATCTTCAACGTAAGTATTTTAAGTCCTCTTCACTTCCAGCAAGCAAGGTTGTGTCATCTGTATTTCTCAGGTTAATGAGTCTTCCTCCATTCCTGATGCCACATTCTTTTTCATATAATCCAGCCTCTCTGATGATTAAATAAGTAGGATGAAAGGATGCAACCCTGGCATACACCTTTCCTGATTTTAAACCATTCATCGTTATCTTGTACTGTTTGAATGATTGCCCTCTTGGTCTACAGGTTCCTCCTGAGCACAATAAATGTTCTGGAATACCCGTTCTTCAAAGTGTTATCCATAGCTTGTGATGATCTCCATATAGTCGAAAGCTTTTGCATAGTCAATAAAGCACAGGTCAGCATCTTTCTGGTATACTTTGATTTCAGTCAAGATTCATCTGACGTCAGCAATGATATCCCTAGTTCCATGTTTGCTTCTGAATCTGGCGTGAGTATCTGGCAGTTTCCTGTCAATCTACTGTTGCAGCCATTTTTGAATTGTCAAAATTTTACTTGCATGTGATACTAATGATCTTGTTCAATGATTTCCATGTCCCATTGGGTCACCTTTCTTTAGAATGGGCACAAATATGGATCTCTCCCATTTGGTTGACCAGGTAGTCATCTTCCAAATTTCTTGTCGTAGATGAGAGAGAACCTCTAGTGCTTCACTGACTTGTTGAAAGATTTCAGTGTGTATTCAGTTAATTCCCAAAGCCTTGTTTTTTGCCAATAACTTCAGTGCAACTTGTATTTCTTCAGTTCTTGATCATACGCTGTCTTTTGAAATGGTTGAACATCGACCATTTCTTTTTGGTACAGTGATATGTGTATACCTTTCATCATCTTTTGATGCTTCCCAAGTCATTCAGTTTTTTGCCCACAGAATCCTTCAATATCTCAACTCAAGGTTTGAATTTATTTCTTCAGATCCTTCAGCTTGAGAAATGCTGAGCTTGGTCAACTTCACTTTGGTTTTTTAACTCCAGGTCTTTGCACATTTCATTCTAATACTTTTTTTCTTGAACTGTCTTTTGAAATTTTCTGTTCAGCTGTTTTACTTCCTCATTTTTTACATTCACTTTAATGTGTCTACACTGGAGAGCAAGTTTCAGAGTTTCTTCTGACATCCATTTTGGTCTTTTCTTTCACTTTTATGACCTTTATGCTTTGCTCGTGGATTATATTCTTGGTGTCATTCCACAACTTGTAATGTTCAGTCATTAGTGTCTAACTAAGTTACATCATATTTGTTCTTGAGATGTCTTTAAATTCAGATGGGGGATATATTCAATATCATACTTTGGGGCTCATGAAATTTTCCTTTTCTTCAACTTCAACCTGAACTTGCATACAAGCAATTGATGGTTTGTCCCACAGTCAGCCCCTAACGCTATTTTGGCAAATGATACTGAGCTTTTCCATGATCCCTTACCACAGATGTAGTCAATTTGATTCCTGCTTATTTCATTTGGTGAGATCCATGTATATAATTTCCCTTTATATTGTTTAAAAAGCGTTTTCAATGAATGTCATTGGTCTTGCCAAATTCTATCAAGTGATCTCCAGCATCATTTCTATCACCAAGGCCATATTTTCCAACCACTGATCCTTCCTCTTTGTTTCCACCCTTCGCATTACAACCATCAGTGATAATCAGTACATCTTGATTGCATGTTTGATCAATTTCACAATGAAGAACTTGGTAGAATTCTTTATTTTCATCCTCACTGGCTTTAGTGGTTGGTGCGTAAATTTGAGTAATAGTGGTATTAACTGGTCTTCCTTGTAGGTGTATGAGTATTATCCTATCACAGACAGCATTGTACTTCAGGATAGGTCTTTAAATGGTCTTTTTGATGATGAATGTGATATCATTTCTCTTGAATTTGTCATTCCAGGCTTAGTAAACCATATGATATGATTGTCAGATTCAATATGGCCAGTACCAGTCCATTTCAACTCACTAATGCCTAGGATAGCGAGCTTTATGCATTCCATTTCATTTTGACAACTTCCAGTTTTCCTAGAATCTTACTTTGTACCTTTCTCATTTGGATTATTAGTGGATATTTGCAGTTGCTTCTTCTCATTTTGAGTTGTGCAAATGAAGGTCCTGATAGCTTTACTCCATTTGTGTCATTGAGGGCAATTGTCCTTTGAGGAGGCAACTCTTCCCCAGTCATATTTTGAGTGTGTTCCAACTTGAGGGACTTATTTTCAGACACTGTATCTGACAGTGGTCAGCTGCTATTCATAAGGTTTTCACTGGCTAACTATCCATAAGTCGTCTGCTTCTCCTTCTTAGCCTGTCTTAGTCTGGAAGCTCAGCTGAAACCTGCCCACCCTGGTGATTGCTGGTATTTAACATATGGGTAACATAGCTTCTAACAGCACAGTAACACATAAACCATACAGTACAACAAACGGACAGATGAGTGGTGGGAGGGTAGTGATACATATACTCTTTCTAGTTAATTCATTCAGCACTTATTCATTGTTAGTTTCTGTGTATGTGTGACATGGACTGTGTTACTCAAATATAGGGAGTTAATAGAGTATTCTTCTTAACAGAAAGATAAGCCTGTGCAGATTACTGGTTTAAGAGGAGTGGAGGATGATTCCAGGGATTTAAACCTGGGCATTTGGAATAACAATGCTAGTTGGTAAAAATACATTGAAATGAAATATGTCAAGTGAATAACACAGTGCCTGACAAATAGTTACTCATCTAACAGTCTATGTGAAGAATAACCTTAGATCCTGTAGAGCCACAAACAGACCATTCCCTAGGGGAGTGAATAATCCAATTAGGGAGGGATTAGAAATGCAAAAGAAACTGATCAATGTTATAGAAGATACATACAGTAGAATAAGAAAGAATAGATGGGTCCTCCTTCCCTTCTTTGATCCTGCCTGTTTCACACCAACCTAGTTTAGAAAATATGTGGTGGTGGTGGTTATGTGCTGTGGAGTCAGTTCCAACTTAACCATCCTGTACCGGGTTTCTGAGGCTGTAAATCTTAACGAGAGCAGAAAGCCAAATCTTTCTCCTGAGGAACTGCTGGTAGTTTCAAACTGCTGACCGTGAGATTAGCAGCCCGATTCGTAACCACCACACTGCCAGAGCTCCTTAGAAAGTATGTAGGTTTTGAAATTGGTTTTGAACAGGTAGGTTTTGAAGTGTGGGCTGTACAGGTGCATGCAACTTTATATCTGGCAATTAGGAGATCTAGAGCATAAGGCCAGATTTAGGAGCCAACCAGTTTGGCAGAGTCCCTGCTATATACCAGGCTCTGGACTAAGGACTGGGGATACCAGAGCAAGTAAGACTGCCCTTACTTGAAATCTTTTACCAGGTGTGGTCAAGATAATTCAGTCCACACTGAGGGCTTACTGGGTGCTAGGTACTTTTCAAACAAGACACAGATGTTGATGGGAGAGTACATGAAATTGGTGAAAGTTAGAGTCATATTAGAAGAACAAAGAACATGTCTTTTCACTCATATTTGGCTTATGTCAGTGGGGAGTTTTTGTTAAACAGGATATGGTAGTCAGACCAAACTGGGTTTCAATTTTTTTTTTTTTTTAATGTGTCTTTATGTAAGTCATTTAAACTCTCAAAGCCCAAATTTCCTATCTGTTACACTGAGAAGTCTAGTAGAATTTATCACATGCCACTGTGAGGATTCCACGAGACAAAATGTTTTGTACAGTGCCTGACATAGAGCAAACATGCATGGTAAATGATAACAATTATTGTGTAGGCCAATGTTTGAAATAACTAGTTTGATCAAATCAGAAACAGAACTAGGAAGTACTGAACATAGAAAACGAGACAATCTAACCTCAAGAGCTAATCTTGACCTGGATCAACCCTAATCTTAGCACATGGTTTTAGGTGCCTGTTCAACGCATAGCAACACTATAAACAACAGAGCAAAACATAGGTCCTCAAAATCATTCCTATATGAAACCATTATTGCTGTCACTGTGCCAATCCATCCTATTGCCGGTCTTCCTCTTTTGCTGACCCTTCTGGCCCTTCCTTATGTCAATGTCCAAAGTAGGTAAGAAAAACGCTTCGAAGGACATTATGGCTGTACTTCTTCCAACACAGATCTGTTCTTCTGGCAGCCCATAGTATATTCAATATACTTCACCAACACCATAGTTCTTGGCACATAGCTTTAATAAATGGCAGCTGTCACTTTTTTTTTTTTTTAATGTGCTTCCTGGATATTTCACATATTAAAAACTACATTATCCCAGGAAATCAGGCATTAAGTTTTATGCCAGAATAACCGTCCCTTTGATGCATTTTTGGTTCAAAAGTTAATATCCTGGTTTAGGGTATGAGTGGGTCAAACCTTGACAGCCACGTGGGCGATGCGTTGGACCCGGAAGGCCTGCACTGTGCTTCTTTATCCTCCAGGGGGCGCGGCTACCCGCTACGGTCGATGATTGCTCCACTTCCTAGCTACCCCCCACGTGGGCCCGAATGGTTAGGCCCGCCGGGCAGGTAGCGGCTCTCCTCTCCCCTCCCTTGTCCCATTGGTAGGGACTGCGGGTCCGGGCGGAAGTGGGGCAGGCGGGCGGGAGCTGGGCGTCATCGTTGTATATTCATGAGGCGCGCGCAGCCCGGCATGGTAATGAGGCGGGGCGCGGCGGGCTAAGGATCTGCTGGGTGGTGGCGGTGGTGGCGGCGGCGGGTTCGGAGCAGTCGGACGGGAGCGGCGTAGGTGCGAGGGTCACCAGCCAGCGCAAACTGGGACATGGAGCCGCCAATCGGGGGTCCGGGGCCCGGCCGGGGGACCCGGGACAAGAAGAAGGGCCGGAGCCCGGACGAGCTGCCTGCGGCGGGCGGTGACGGCGGCAAATCCAAGAAATTTGTGAGTGTCCCTCCCACCCAGCTCCCTCAACCCGACGCTGTAACCGTCCTCACGACCCCGGTAGCCGACCCCAGGGGCTCCATCTCGTCTCTCAAGAGCCACCCCCGCGCCTCCCTTCTTCGCCTCGCTCGTTCTCACCCCTACATCCTCCCCCTCGAGGACCGCGGGAACCCCCTAAGTCCCACCCTGTTCTTGCCCCGGCCGCCTGTGGGCGTTTTCACTCCCCAGCCTGGACCCTCAATCCTCCCGCCTCTGTAACCCCGGCCGGTTCTCAGCCCCATCTCAGCTCTCCCAGTCCCACTTCCTTTCTTCTTCCTCTATTACCCGAAAACGCTTTCTCTATCTTGCCCTCCTGTGCTTTCCTGGGTTTATTTTCTCTCATTGTCCTTACCCCCTTTTTGGTATTCTTTTCTTTTTTCTCCTAAAGGTCACTTCCTTCCGCGTGATCGATCCCTTTCACCTGCTAACTTTCCTCCCGCCCAGTCCCCCATCTGGGCCCTCAGCCCGGTGCCACCTGATAATCCTTCCCCTTAGGAATGTTACCTGACTTAGGCCCTATCTTCCTTGCTCTCGTGGACGTTTGTCCTTGCAATTAACAGGCCCTTTGCCCAGGTCCTGTAGCCATTCGGGCCTGACGTTCATATTTCTCTATCCAGAGAACTGGTCTCCTTGCCCTGTTGCTTATTACCTTTCAGGGAGTTACAACTTCTCTGGCTTCCCTTCTTGACCTAGGATGGTGATAAACCTCTCTCATTGGGGAGGAAGTTAGACTGCAAGTTCAAGAAGTTTGTGAGTAATTGAATTGCTTTTTGTACATTTCCCGTGATAACCATCTCCGTAACTACTTCTTCTGCCACCTCCTGTGCCTCAGGGCTGTTGACATCTCATTTCCTACCTGTAGAAGAGTATAGCTTTTCTCAGGTGCCAATTACTTCCAATCCTAGTCTGAGGGAATATTGACGATATTCATGTAACCCTATCATATTTCAACCTTTTACTTACATTAAATCTTTTACTACTCTCTCCAGGGAGCCATTTATCGCTTTTTACTATAAAAGCTTTGAAAGACATGAGATATTGTCCAAGAGAGGAAACAGTATTGGATCTTAACAATCATTTGCTTGTTGTAACTGTTGTTAGTCTTCTCTACAGGTGATTGTATCCCAACCCACTATCTTTCTATTGACCAAATGGTTTATCACTCTTTCCTTTTCTTTTACTTTTCTCTTATCCCTGCTTCTCAGTATTCTGACCCATCTCCACAAGTTTGTAAAGAACCCATAGTGGTGGAAACTGGAAGAAAATGTTGCGTTGCTACAGGGTTGAGATATGGAGAATACCAAACAGAATTAAAATAGTGACTCATTTCTTCCTACCTATTTCTAGCAAGACCAGGTGCTTCTGGCCTGGCCTTTGTGGTGACTTAACAGGCTGTCAGTAACTGCCTGTTTTTATTTGATGAGCATCTTGACCTCCTCCTTGGGTGACTGAAACAGCATTTTACCCAGTGTTTCTTTAGGATAAGAATTGACCTTCTTGTTAGAGAGCTTCTGTATCTATTTGTTTTGATTTTGTTTCCATGGATATTGTTTGACCTTCCTAACCTGAATTTCAACTTTTCCTGCTAATTTAAAGTGACCTCTGTGACATAAATATTTTTCAAGTCCTTAGTAACATTTTTTATGTGCTTTTGTTTTGTTCAGCACTTGTGTGTTTCACAACTTTGTGAAACTTAATGTGTGCTGCTTGCTGTAAGGTGAGATACCTGTGGAAACTACTTCTTTTCACCTGTTTTTTGAATGTCTGTGGAGTCTGCATGTGCTGAGTAGTTTTGGCTCAGTGTTGTTGATATTTGCTTTAGAGAAGGTGGAGCTGAACCAAGTTCTCTTTTTCTTTCTGAGGTGTTGATCTTAACCCTTTACCTGCTGAATTAAAAAAAAAAAAAAATTCCAGCTAGTGGGGACCATTGCATTAATAGCTAGAGATTTGGAAGTTTTCCAGGAAAGTAGTGGTCCTTAATCCCTTTATTGCCAATTATAGCATACTTCCAAGTATAACCTACCACAAGGCAACAGTATTCCAACTTCCTCTTTGCTTCTTATAAGAACTCTGTGGAAATTAAAGACTAGGAGGAGCAGCGCAGTCTACTTCTCTGTGTCTGTGTGTATGTTTAGGTGGGTAGATGGTGTGGGTGAGATTACTGGTGTGCTTTTGTTACCCATAACTTCGTTTTCTTGAACTATGAGCTAAAACTGTTTTGCCTCCTCCAGCTTTTATAGACTTATGTCCTCTGGAACTCCATTAATGTACACTTTATAAATGATACTGGTATGGACTAAGTGTGCCTGTAGGTTATTTATTTGCATCTGGGAGGTTACTAATCTCTTTAGCTGCTACATACCATTCTGGGTTTATGTAGGTTGTAAGTATAGGTCAATTGGTGGAAAGAGTTTACAAGATTGCCTAATATCAGTTCTTAGTCTCTGAGACATCTTGTAGGAAAAAGATGGAATTCTAGGTTAAAAAGTAATTGGATATCATATTTTAAGATAATGTGATTGCTTGCGAGATACTGACATGAGTGACTGAAGCCAGGCTGCTCTGTAATTTCTGGATTCTTCATGAATCTGGCCTCCACTGGACCATGAGTGTGCCCCTTCTCCAGCACCAGAATTCAGATTTTTTTCTGACTTTTCAGCAATGATAAATGTGGATGTCAAATACAAAGGGGCTTCAAAAAGTTCTTGGAAAAATGGAATTAAAAGATAATGGAAATTTTCTACCAATATTTTTAAGCCCCCTCGTGGACTGATTTCGGAAATACTAGATTAAGTAAAAAAGTATTACCACTTTATTAAACAAAAACGTCCAAATGTGAAGATACTGTTTCTGGACATGTCCTCCATCTAGATCTCTGAAGTCCTGGTATGGTGCTGTAGGGTAAGCACTCAGCTCAGTGTCAGTTTGAATCGCAAGGTCAGCAATTCAGATCCACCAGCTGCTCCTCAGAAACCCTATGGTAGGTGGTGGTGGTTATATGCTATGGAGTTGGGTTCTGACTTGTGGTGGTTGTGTGCCACGGAGTTGGTTCTGACTCATAGTGACCCTGTATAGGGTTTCTGAGGCTTTAAATCTTTACCGGAGCAGAAAGCCTCATCTTTCTCCAGCAGAACAGCTAGTAGTTTCAAACTGCTGACCTTGAGATTAGCAGCCTGACTTGTAACCACTATGCTACTGGAGCGCCTTCAGAAACCCTATACAGGGCCATTATGAGTCGGAACTGAATCAGTGGCACCTAACAGCAGCAGGTCTATATACTTCTGAAGGTGGTGTTCCCATCAGCTGTTCCTCGGGAGAAAGATGAAGCTCTCTGCTCCTGTAAAGAGTTACAGCCTCTGAAACCCTATGCAGGGTCACTATGATTTAGAACCGATTCCACGGCACACCACCACCAACAACCTCTGAAGAATTCTGTGCTCTTATATTCACACTTTGTCAAAACAGTAATTTTGGCATCCTTGAGGAACTCAAATCATGTTCCTTTGAAATGCTTTTTGAGTTTTGAGAACAAAAGGAAGTCTGAAGGAGCAAGATCAGGGCTGTAGGATGTATGGGGTAAGGTTTCCCAACTCCTAAGACAGCCCTTGCTACCCTCAAAAAATGTGCTATATCCACTGTGATGTGAAAAAATTCCTCCAACTTTCCTGGCCTTTTTCTCACCAATGTCATTATTCGTTTTCTTAGAACTTTGTAATAAGGCTTCATGATCATCCAGTGTCCTTCAAGAAAATCTACCGAGATTATCCCTTTGAGATCCCCAAAAACAGTTGCCATAACCTTCTAAACTGACCTCTCTGCCTTGAACTGAACAGGCCTAGAAAATCTCCAAAGTCACTGTTGTGATTGGACCTCTTATTTTACAGGAACCCTGACAAGTAATATTACTGAGAGAACTTGTCTGGAGTTATCCACTGATCCCAGAGACATCTTTAAACAAGTTTTCTTTGGAATAAACCTGTGAATGTATGAACTGGAACCGTAGTAGTAATGCTTTTTGACTAGGCCATGAATGTGTAAGGGATAAGTGCAACCAGAATGTTAGGAAGTTGCAACGTTAACTAGATTCCATGCTTTCTCTACAATCAAATAAGAGAGAATCTTGGTTCTTATCCAGCTAAGAGCATAATTTTGTAAAGCCTGAATTTTAGTGTGTGATTAGTGAGAACAGAAAATATATAGTTTAAATTTTTTTGTTTAATTTTGAATTTCTGTGCTGGTGTGACACTGCAGGATAATGCACTGGATCACAAAGTCAGTTTCAACCTCAAGTTTGGTGGTTCAAACTCATTAGTTGCTCCTTGGAAACCCTATACAGGGTCACTGTGAGTCAGAACCTACTTGATGGCATTTAACAACAAATGCTAAACTACAAGGTCAGCAGTTCAAACCCACAAACTGCTTTGCAGTAACCCCCTACAGGGTTACTGTGAGTAGGTACCAACTTGATGGCATTTAACAACAACATGCTGAATTATTAGCATATTGCAGTTCCCTGCCCCTCTAAAAGCAAAATGATAGAGTATAAACGTTTAGTTGTAGGTCTGTGTCCAAAATGAGAACTTTCACAGGTAATGCCAGGCAGAATTTTAAGTAGATATTAGGAAAGGTAAAGAATATGAAAGAAGTGGTGTTGTTCATTGCAGGATTCTGCTTATCTCCACTTAAAGAAGATATTAGTTGTGATCCAGAAGGTCACAGAAAACCAAGGAATACACAGCTTTTACAATTCATGTGTTTTTTTGAAAGATCATAAACACTGGGCACCTACAAGAAGGTTGCTGAGATATCTGAGATGACAGAATGGTACCTTAAAAATTAGTGCCTTCCTACCTGCCTTGCCTTATAAAAGACAGCCAAAGGGTATTCACTGGATAATGTTGCATGAGCCCTGATGGTTTTGTGGGTTAAGATTTGACCTGCTAATGGCAAGATCAGCGGTT